CCCCAAAACCCCAAAACCCCAAAACCCCAAAACCCCAGGTTAAAGAGAAAATATGATAATACCAATTTTGTAAAAAGTCGGTTTTAAAGCGAAAATTAGGACATTTCGAAGAAGAATTAGAGGGAAGAAACGTAATTTAGGCTAGAGGATGGAGCTTAGTGGTGTTTTAATGAAGTTTTGGAGAGTTTTGAGGTCTTTGGAAAGCAGTGTTTGTCCGATTCATCCTCTCATATAGTCGCTGTGTGTAATATAGTCTATCTCATTAATACGACTAGCGATTCAGAAGAGGTTCATTCAAAGAAATACTCCTCAGTCGTAAGTATTATCTTGTTGGGGGCATCTAGCAAAAGAGATTTGGAATCATGATTTGAATCCTTTATCACGTACATCATTCAATCTTTTCTCTGTAAACCAGTTCTCGATCTGCTTTTCGGAGTTGATCTTGAGAATCTTTGTCATAATTCTCAGAACCACTGATGATCTTTCAAGATAGAAGCATAGCAGCTCTGCAGCCTCATAACTCTTTGAATACATTTTTTCTATCAAGGAATCATAGATTCTTATCTTTCCCCTTGTGAGGTCTACATGGAGGCAAAACCAATGAGAGCAGTACATTATGGGTACAATTATTTTCTTGAACACTCGCTTATCTTTTTTCACAATCTGTTTGTAAAGATACCTATCAAGTTTGTTAAACAACTTTCTTCGTCATGTATTCTTCAACTCAAAATAAGCTTGGCAGAAATAAGTGTTTAGGATTAAAATATCTTTTAGACCTTTAGTTAAGCTACTTAGAGGATCAGTACTCCTCTTTCTCTTTCGATAGTATCTTTTAGGACTTTTATATTCATTTAAGAGGGTCACCATTGCATTAACTATCTCATCATTGACCCATCTGTTGGTCTTTAATATCCGAAAAGAAGCTACTGAAACATTGAGGTCTTGTAAATTCTGGCCATTCTCTTCTGCATTGGGTTGTTTATCTTCTTCTTTATTCCCTTTAACTTGTGTATTTAATTCAGTTTTCATCATATCTAGTATATTTTACTTCAAAATTTCCACTAAAATTCTACTATTTTACTTTAAATTGGGGTTTTGGGGTTTTGGGGTTTTGGGGG